AAGCTTACTTTATGTGTCCATTTATAAATCCCCAGCGACCCATCATCCCTTTGATTCCTAACCCCCGCCATTCGCCTAAATCCCTTTTGCTACATTCCACTACTCAGCCGCCGCATACCAAATTCTAGTAAATTATAAAGGCTCCAAATCATTCGCTTTACTGAATGGATTTTTCCTTTTTTCGAAGCAATCCCTATTTCGCCCAAATAGTGATCTTTTCCAGTTCATGCGTAAAATTTCATTCAATTTTGTTGAATGAAAAACTGGTAATGGAAAATTCATTTGCCATATCCCCAAATGAAAGTTAAACGAAAACGGAGGAAAAAATTCATATATACAAGCCCACTACTACTCCATAAAGCACTAGCAGTAAAACTACAATAAATATCACTAATAGTGAAACTCATAAGAGGTTCACTTATGATCGAAGTAGACGAAAATTTGTCTAGCCCAGAAAAAAAGGCGTCTGGAAATTTATGCGGAAAAGAGGAATGTAAACTGATTTAGTGAAAGCATACGAAAAAAATTACAAAATCATGTACAAACATTTCGCAGAATCTGAATCCTGTACTATATTCCCAAGTATTGAAAAAATTCATTTTAGCTAAAAATACGTCAATTACTCGACACTAAGATGCAATCAAGAAGTGGCCAACCCCTTCAAAAGACCCGAATTCGTCCATAAGTGGGCAGTTGATTTCCACAAAGAGATTTTCTATAAAGCTGAAGATTGTGGAATGATGCGAGATGGCACAAAACAATAACATGCATTTTGGTTTAAGAGGATTATGAGGACCTCAAAATCCCATCACACTGCATGTGTGTGTGTGTGTGCACACTGATCCCATCTCGTGCTCTAATTTCCCAGTACCTAAAGTCAACAGCACGCACTGATTTGGCAGTGGTGAGGCGCAATATTGCCTGTAAATCCAAGAAACACTTCAAATGCCTATGTAAACAACATCCTCCTTTGGAGGGATACGCTTCGGTCTACTTAAATCCAGCAATACCAGCGCTTATTTCCCCAAAAACATGCTAATCCGCCGTGTCTTTTCATCCCACTATTATTCTTCCCACCGAAAATTCATGTAGCTTTGTGCAAATGATCCGCCAGAACTTACACTTTTCCGGTTGATCGCACCGTACTCAGCTCGGCTCCATCTTTCCGCCATTCGATACGTGTTGGGACATTGTTCGTGGACAACGCATATCGGCAGTTCAGTTGTACTCGTCCAGCTTTCGCCACCGCATTTGCCGGCTCTTCCGTAAAACGAAATCCAAGAAAGCGCTCCTCTGAAACCAGGCACCTATGACTCAATTAGCTATGCATACATAAAACTATATAGAAGTAAAAAATTCAAAAAACGCATTTTTTATCCAACTCACTCTTCACTTTGAAATGCAGGAATACCCTCTGTTAGCTTTCTAACATCTTGCCGTTTGTCCCCTCAAAATTACAGCCTTTTTTTTGTC